ACACACTCACACACACTCTCTCTCACACACACGCACCCCCACACACCCCCACTCACTCACACACACACTCACTCTCTCACACTCTCACACAAACACACACACTCACACACAGATGAGCATCATCACATGACTGTCCACACTCACACTGACGCCTATCGAGTGATCAGAAACTCATCTGTCTGCTGCGCTGAGCTCATAAGAAGGAAGCAGGACAGAAACTGATTCCTGAACAGCAGAAGAGCGTATGATAGTGTGCTGATAAATCCATTTATAAAGAAACTGGATACTTTTTTGCACTATTAACACTTCAAAGGTTTCTCTTTACAACCACTATGTTTACAAGCACATCAATCAAACTAATAGTTGAGCACATATTGTATAACCTCCTGGGAAATAACATCAGGAAAGGAAACACGCATTTATCGATCAACAACCATGTGTACAGGAATATATTCCCAATTCTGTACGTATATAAACATCATATTCAGAATATGTCTTTAACCAGAGCTGAAACAGAATATGATGTGTGTATAACATATTATATGTTATATGTGATATACTATGAGTCTTGGTCTACATGAAGTTGACCGAAGTGAGCAGAACTGTTCCACATCAAACTCACGTGAATGTGAACTACAGTCCATCCACACACGGCCTGCAGATCGCTGACACAGAAAACAGGAAGAGAGACACTGCGGCAGGAAGAGAGAGCGAGAGGATTGATTTATAGCGACTGAAGGACTGATGCAGGACACACAGCAGAACCGAGCGCTCCTCACTGACCCCAGAACAGTCCAGAAGATCAGAAATGAGTAAAGATCTGAGCTGGAGCATCAACCACAAACACTGAACCAGCTGCAGGTCGATTCACACAGTCTGTGCTCTGCATACTGTAGTATATACCATATACTGGTGACTAGTGTTAAACTAGTACTTAGTGAAGTATACAATGAGAGACTCTTCACACATGACCTCATTATATGTCCTATTTAATTCAGCGATCTGCACCCAGTTAGTACACATGATTTACTATGACATTTGCTTTGTGCAAAAATGTCTGAACTTTTGTCAGTCTGATTGAATAATGAGTCAGGAAAGAGACGCTAAAAATAACAGCTAGAAATGGAAGGTCTAGTCAAGCGCATTGCATTGTGGGATGCAGGGACACATGCAGTGTTCTCTGTTGTTCTGCTCACTATAGCAAATGTAGTAAGTTGTACAGAATACATACTGAAGAATAGTATGAGAAGTATGTGTAAAGTGAATATAGTAGGAGTAGTATGTGTAGCATGAGTAGTGTGTGCAGATTTAGTAGTATAGTATGAGTAGTGATAGTGTGAGAAGTATGAGTAGCGTGTTTAGTATGAGTAGTATGTGTAGAGTGAGCATAGTATGAGAAGTATGTGTAAAGTGAGTCTAGTATGAGTAGTATGTATAGCATGAGTAGTGTGTGCCGAGTTAGTAGTTTAGTATGAGTAGTGATAGTGTGAGATGTATGAGTAGGGTGTTTAGTATGAGTCGTATGTGTAGCATGAGTGGTGTGCACATTATTATAATATGAGCAGTGATAACATAAGAAGTCTGAGTAGCATATTTAGTGTGAATAGTATGTAAAGTGTGAAAAGTATAATAAGTAGTATGTAGTGTGAGTAGTCTGTGTAGTATTAATATGTATAGTGTGTGTAGTGTGACTAGTATAGTTTGTGTAGTATGTTAATGTGAAATATAAGTAGTGTGAATAGCGTGTAAAGTGTTTGTAGTGTGAGCATTGTGAGTAGTGTTTGTAGTTTGTGTAGTGTGAGCATTGTTTGTAGAATTTGTAGTATGTGTAGTGTGAGCAGTATAGTGTGAGTAGTGTGTGTAGTTTGTGTAGTGTGAGCATTGTGAGTAGTGCGAGTAGTGTTTGTAGTATGTGTAGTGTGTGTGTGTGTGTGTGTGGTTTGTGCAGTGTGAGTAGTGTTTGTAGTTTGTGAAGTGTGAGTAGTGTTTGTAGTATGTACAGTGTGAGTAGTGTGTGTGGTTTGTGTAGTGTGAGCATTGTGAGTAGTGTTTGTAGCATGTGTAGTGTGAGCAGTGTGTGTAGTTTGTGCAGTGTGAGTAGTGTTTGTAGTATGTATAGTGTGAGTAGTGTGTGTGCAGTTTGTGCAGTGTGAGCAGTGTGAGTAGTTTGTAGTATATATAGTGTGAGTAGTGTGTGTGTAGTTTGTGCAGTGTGAGTAGTGTTTGTAGCATGTGTAGTGTGAGCAGTGTGTAGTTTGTGCAGTGTGAGTAGTGTTTGTAGCATGTGTAGTGTGTACAGTATGTGTAGTGTGAGCAGTGTGTGTAGTTTGTGCAGTGTGAGTAGTGTTTGTAGTATGTGTAGTGTGTACAGTATGTGTAGCGTGAGCAGTATGCGATTGCAAACAGACTGCGGCCGCAGCACCTCAGCACTCACCCTGAATGAACCGTATGGGTCAGATGAATAGTATCAGATGAGTTGGGTTGAGCTGCACGTTTCGGTGGCGACACACACAACCTCAGGTGTCTTCATTAGAAAACTCCACTTCCTGTTTCAGCTCATCTTTGAGCTGAGGATGCGTTTCCTGTCCACGCTGCTTTTAGCTCTTTCTAAGCACTTTCAACACTCACTTCCTCAAACGCCTCCGCTGCACAACACAAGAGTTTCCCTCGTTCATCTCAGTTCATCTGCAGCTGTGTGAATATCATGCATGCCATCAGACGCTGAGGGATTACAGATCACACACACTAACACTAGTGCTGCTGCTGTTAGCACACTCTTTGTTTCAGTGCCTTTGAGCTTTAACTGTTACGAAAGTACATTTGAAACAAAAAAATGCACACTTGCAAAAAATGAAGAAAAAATGCACTGCAGTCATTTTAATGCATTGTATTTTCAGAGCGTGCATTTTTGGAGGCTGAAGTTCAATTTGGTTGAATATTTATGTAGTGAATATTTCAGTTGGAAAATTTAACACAATATTTTATTATTAAAAATTAAATAATTTATATTCACTTTCCTGAGTTAATTTCCAAAATATTAAGTCCAAATAAATGATATAATACAATATATAAATATCACAAGACAAAATGCAGGCATCACTGTGAAGCGGACTGCATCACAGTAATGGCAATTATCATAAACTGCCAAATTCATAATTGAAAATAAAATTCAATTAATCACCAAGTCCAACTTCAGACGTCATTATATTCACTATATAACACCAGATCAGAACAATTGCGCTATTGATTAAATGTCTGTGTTTAATGATAATCACAATGATTATCAAAAATGTTATGATTATCAAATGATTTTCAAAAAGTTTTTGAAAATCTGGAATCTGAGGATGCAAAAAAATCTAAATACTGAGAAAATCATCTTTAAAGTTGTCTAAATGAAGTTCTTAGCAATGCATATTACTAATCAAAAATTAAGTTTTGATATATTTACGGTAGGAGATTTACAAAATATCTTCATGGAACATGATCTTTACTTAATATCCTAATGATTTTTGGCATTAAAGAAAAATTGATAATTTTGACCCATACAATGTATTGTTGGCTATTGCTACAAATATACCCCAGCGACTTATTATCAATAACAGATATCAACTGATATCTATTACTGAGCAGCTGACTGATATAATGCTGATCAACAATAATTTAATCAAAACAGATGAGATCTATTAAATATATTGTAAATATTTAGACAAATTCACAAATAAAAGGTTTCATATCACTGCCATTCTGGTGTCATGTTTCCGATTCAGTCATAAGAATAATCTAGCATATTTGTGGGCACGTGCAGTTCAATATTATATGAAGAAACGCAAATCTGTTAGGTTAATCATGATCGAAGAGAAATTCTGCTTCTGTGTTGATTCGCTAATGTTCCTGAAGCAAAACCAGTTCAGAACCGACTGACGGTCCACACTCACACACACACACTCACACATCAGTGTCTGATCATCACACACACACACACACACATCAGTGTCTGATCATCACACACACACACACACACACACACACCTGGCTCGGCTGATCTCGTCAGGAATCCTCATGTTTGAATCACACGCGTCTGTTACAGCTGTCATTATTAATAAAGCGATTTGTCGCGTCTTCTCGGCTCAGTTCGGGACTCACCTCAGCAGCAGTAGCGCGGCTCGGCTCGGCTCAGTTCGGCTCTCGTCTCATCCCGAAGCTTCAGCTCATACCGTCGTCTGGTCCGGCCGGTACCGGGGCTCGTTAGGGCTCTAGCTTGACTGCGCGGAACAACCGTCGCCGCTGCGCTCCGCCATCACGGACAGAACGCGAGCTGAGGTAGCTGCAGACGCGACGCGCCGACTGACGCCTAGCGGCGCGGAGCCGCATTACAAGAACCGCACTGACAGAGACTGGAAAGCTCGGCAGCGCGACGGCAGATGCAGCTTCTGATCGGTCTGAATGATTAATATTATAGTTTTAATCATCAGTAACTGAAGTCTATCCGCGTCGTCATGAGGTTCTGGCGCGCTTCTGATGTGACGCATGACGCTGTCACGTGACACGTGTTACTTTTCTCAGCGCGTCTGAAGACGCATCCAGCATACTTTACAAGGATTTAAAATTCATTTTATATATTTGTCCAAACGCCAGTCTTCTATTAGCGTGTCAGGTACGGATTATTGGCGTTATAAAAGATTTAAATCTTACCGATCACAAATCTCTAATAAGACAAAAACGTCAATATTGTGAAATATTATTCTAATGTAAAACAGCTGTTTTCTGTGTGAATATCTGTTCAAATGTAATTTATTCCTGTGATCAAAGCTGAATTTTCAGCATCATTGCTGTTCATTTGAACTTTCTATTTATCAAAGAATCCTGAAAACATACACAAAATATTAAGATGCAAAAAAATGATTTTAACATTGATAATAATAAACATTTTTAATAACTGAGCATCAATGATAATTGAGCAGCAAATCAGCATATTATACTGATTTCTGAAGATCATGTGACACTGAAGACTGGAGTAATGATGCTGAAAATACAGCTGCGCATCACAGAAATAAATTACAGTTTAACAGATATTCACATAGAAAACAGCTGTTTTACATTAGAATAATATTTCACTGTTTTTACTGTATTTTTTAAATTAAATAACTGCCGCAGTGGCAGCAAAAAAAAAGCATTTAAAAATAATTTTCTCTCTCTCATATATATGCATGTGTAAAATAAAGAAATGACGTCACTGAGTCCAATGCACATATTCACTTTAAATTCTTTATTTTCTGTAAAATAAGGAGAGGATACAGTCTTAAAAAAATGTTCCGTCAGAAGCACCTATGCTTTCAGGACATTATTTACAACATACTTGGTTTTTCCCCGGTTATCAAAATAACAAAAATTAAGAGCAACAATCATAAAAGTACATCTTAAAATAGAATGCGCATATTTTGTTTATTTTCATACCTAGACAAAAGCTAGGACTATTTAACATCGTAAGAGCTGAAGCGTGACACGAACCGATAACATGAAGCTGTTAGTTATTCGACAGCTGATCTTCTGATCATATATTTCTATCAGACCTGAGCTGATTTTACAGTGCAATGCAGACGCCAGACATCAGACACACGTGCTTCTGTAACATTAAAATACATCACTTCAAACAAACCCTCAGACGCTGACGCTATATCTCACAATTTTTAGTTTATATCTCACAATTCTAATTTTATATTGCAATTCCAACTTTCTAATCGCAATTCTGAGATTATCAAAATTGTACGTTTATAGCGCAATTCTACATTTATATCTCGCAATTCTGAATTATTATATCTCGCAATTCTGACTTCAAATCTCACAATTCTATTTTTAAAATTCTGTTTATAGCGTAATTCTACGTTTCTCACAATTCCGACTTTTTTCTTGCAATTCAGATTCGCGAGGGGAAAAAAAGTCAGAATAGTGAGATAAAAAGTACCATTTTAATTTTTTTTTAAATTCCATGGCGGAAACCAGCTTCCATAAGCTTGAGTATTTTTATGGCAAAATTAATATTACAATGTGATAGATAAAATGCCCATGAGATTCTAAGATCTATTTGTAATGAAAACTGATTCTAGACTTTACTAAAATAGTAATTTTTAATCATTGAAATGATAATTTATCATTTCTTCCCTTTGATTTTGGGGTGAATTGTAACGTTTTGTTGTTGACTAAATTTGTGAGATTCACCTGAAAACATTCGTAATCCACCTGGTGATCGACACATTTCTCAACACATTAATTAGCTTCATATACAAATATACATTTATTCGCGTAAACATCTATAGCAACTTTATTTTAAAATAAATCTCATAGTACACAGTATTTAGTTACATAAAAATACGTGTTCCTCTGAATATGGCCTTGCTCAGGAGAATAATCGTGCAAATACAGGCAGAAGAGAGTGCAGACGAGCGGATCGCAGTAAACACACACACACACACACACACGAGTGGATGTCACACACATATTTGGTCATTTACGACACTGTTTCAGTGGTTCAGCGCATGCGGCGACACAAACACGCTGCTGCTTTAACTAGTACAGAGAGGAGACTAGTTAGTCTGGATCAGAGATCATCAGAATCATCACTAAACGTGAGCAGACTGAATTCTGGGACAAAACAACGTCTGTTCTCATGCATTAAATGTGACGCATGTCTAAAGAGAACGGCTGTGTTTAAAACGGCATACTAGCTCACTGCATACTGCACACTATATAGTGCATACTAATCTGTAAAATGGCACTGTTCTCTGCTTTCATTCTATGAGTTTTGCATCACTGATTGTTATTCCCCCATAAATATACTCACACAGTAAGTAAATTAAGTAAACAGTAAACTAAGTAATTAATTACTGCAATTTTATTGCAAACAGATTACTCTTAATTTGTCTGTAATTTAAGTACAGTTCATTCTGATGTAACTGCATTAAATACTGTTTGGACTATAGAACAATTCTATATAAAAATTCTAAATTTAACATTTAATTGTTAAAATGTTTGTTTTTAATGTAACCTTCTCCCCTTAAAATACTTTGGACAGTTCATGAATAATTTATGCAATTTTATTATATATATATATATATATATATATATACAGTGGGTACGGAAAGGATTCAGACCCCCTTAAATTTTTCACTCTTTGTTATATTGCAGCCATTTGCTAAAATC